CTCTTCACCTAATGCCCTAAAGCCAACTGGTTTGGGAGTTATTGACAAAAAGCTCGTTACATGGGTAACTTAGAAAGCCTAAGGAAACTCGACCTATGAAAAAAAAAAATAAAAAGAAGAAAAAATAATAATAAGTGCTAAGGTGTGAAGGTCTAAACTTGAGGCTTCTTACTATGAATTTCCACACACACACTAAGTGCTCATGGGCTAAATCTTTTAACAAGTGGTGTGAAGAATAAGATGGAGTATTTTACTTTAAGTGAGAATATGAGAACTTTTGAATATTTGAGACTTTGCCTTTAATTGAACTTTAATTCCTAAATTTTCTTTGCATACATATCATATAGTTGCATTTTTGCATTGGGATTTTGTGGGTAGATCCACTACAAACCCTCACGAGACACAACTCGTCCACTAGGGTGACCTAGGGGTTTAAAGGTTTGTTACACATGCTAAGTGCAATCGTAATTCCTATAAAAGTGAATTAGGTTTTATTTTTGTTTCTTTTATCTTTTTATTTTATTTGAGGACGAGTAAAACTTAAGTTTGGGGGAATTTGATTAGCTAAATTTATATACATATTAATAGGGAATTTTTACTTTGATATTATTGATATTTGGATGAATTTTATGGGATTTTGTTTGATTTTACATGATTTTACATGATTTTCATTCTTTGTGTAGGAAAGGATTTAATTAGAAGAAATTCTACTTTTTAGAAGTAAATTGAAGAGATCAAAGATTTGAGGATCAACTTGTGCAGAATCCAGAAGTCAGGAACCAAATCTGCTATTTTACCATTGAAGAAATTGCAAAAGGAAACCAGAAACCCGAAACCCGACATGGGTGTAGTATCGACACGTAACCAAGGTGTCAACACCATGCGTTAAACGTCCAGAATCAGATTCTGTTTCCTATTTTATGTCAACACGTAATCCGAAGTGTCAGCACCACGCGATCAACATCCAAAATTCAATTTCTTCTTTCTGTTCCAAGTCCTACTTTTATTTCAATTAGGGTTTCTAAAATCTTATAAATACCCATCCAAATTCAGAATTGAGAGAGCTTTGGAGAGGCTGGTGGAAGCCCTCTTTTGGGTACTCTTGGAGGTCAAGATAGAAGATCCATCAATGAGAAAATCAAGGATTTCAATTACCTCAAATTAGGTTTTATTTTTCCTTAGACATTCTTATGCTCATAATTGTGA